ACAATCTCAAGTATTTCCGCTTCTGCCGGGTTCCTTTCGGCATCAATGCAAGTCCAGCTATCCTGAACCAGTCGATACTGAAGCATATCGAAGGGTCACAATCGGATATCGTCGCAGAACTTTCCAACTCCCTCTACGTAGACAATGTACTACTCGAAGGAAGAAATGCAAACGAATTAATTCGGAAATATGCTGAATCTAAGCGACTATTCGCTTCCATTGGAATGAACCTGCGTGATTACCTCTCCAACTCGGTTGTAGTCAACAAAAACATAATGGATTCTGATCGAGCAAATTCAACTGAAATCAAAGTTCTTGGAATTCACTGGAACGCCATCGAGGACACTATCACCTTGCAGTGTTCCAAAAAGCAAGTCAACAAGATCTCCAAGCGCACAGTTCTTAGCCAGATCAACGGATATTGTTACGATCCGCTTGGTTTACTGTCACCATTGATGATACCAGCCAAGATATTCCTCCAGGATCTTCATAAACAAAAATACGGATGGGACGATCCACTGTCTGAAGAAGATCAAAACACTTGGAATTCCATTACGGCTAATATAGTCGGGTTTGATATCAGCTTGCCGAGGAGAGTCGTTGAGAAGGACGGAACGACACAGCACACACTGTCTATATTTGTGGACAGCTCTAAACGAGCGTACGCTTGTTGCATCTACGTGACAACTACATCTAGGGCAGGCATCAAGGAGACGAAACTCCTCACTGCGAAATCAAAAATCGCACCGATCAAGAAGGAACAAACAATACCACGCCTGGAGCTTCTCGCCATATTCATTGGACTAAGTCTAGCCGAATCCACTATCAACAAGATAGATGTGAATTTTGAGCAAATTAACCTCTTCAGTGACTCAACAATCGCCTTATGCTGGATGCAAGGATACAAACGCCTACCCTCTATCGTGACCACACTAGTCCAAAAGATTGGACTCATTACGAAACGAGTACGAGAATACAGCAACGTCACCTTCTACCATGTACCTACACATGAAAACATTGCGGACTGCGCAACAATCTCCTCTTGTTCCCTGCTGGTGGGAGTGATGTATCTTTCACCCAGATAAATCTTGTGACATCTCTATGCTCCTTGGGCAGTCGTATTTGTAAAAATGCTTTTTGTATATCGGCCACCATGGTGTAAAGATGCGTGCGAAACTGCAGCACCACCTCGTGGATTAGTGGTGTTAGTGAATGGCCTTCAAAGATGACGTCGTTGAGGCTACACTCATCTTTCGCATGTGAAGATGCATCAAACACTACTCGAAGCTTGGTTGACTTTGAAGGTGTCCATACGTGTCTGTGAGGGAGGTAGAAGGTAGCGACGCTGTTTGAAAAGTTGTCCGCTTCCTCTATGATTCCTTCTTCAAGATATGTCGTGAGCGTGTCGTTGTATAGCTTGAGTTTCTCCTCGTCTCCGTGAAGAGTACGCATTAGACTTTGAAGTCTTCGATAAGCAACGCTGAAGTTGTCTTTCAGGTTCTTAACTTCGTCGGTGAACGGAAATCCTGCAGTGATGTTCCCATTCTCGATAGTTATGGTTTTTCTGTAATCCTCCATGAATTTGATGACGGATGCTTCATCAGTGCCACTATCTGTGTTTATTCCAAGTGACTCTAATTCATACAGATGTTTTATATCCATTTTGTAATCATCTTTTGATGAAATGAGTGGAGTAGCAACGATGAGTGAGCTGCACTGTGCTTCTGAGTTGCTCTTCGTCGAACTAGGGAAGCCGCTGGTGCCGGAAATTGTGTACCCAAATATAGTTGGTGTGAGAACTAATCCGGATGGCAGCTTGATAATGCAGCATTGTGGTCAAGAATTTGATGCAGTAAGTCCTGTCCTATGAGTATGTCAGGCGATACGTTCATAGGAAGAAGGTTCCTCTGCGCAATCGAGATCTTCTTTCCCTTTATGAAGTTTCGATCTTCTTCTGATAGGTTCGCTGTCCTCGTGGTAGTGGTCAGCTTGTCTTTGGTGAAGACTGGTATATTACGCAGCTTGGTTGAGCTATGACAGCTTTTCAAGGTAATTCGAACTTCATCAGATTTGAAGGACTCTTGTAACTCTCCCATTCCTATAGTAGTGAACGATGTCGTGCTGAACGTTGGTAATTTCAGCGAAGCTCCAAGTGATGATTTGATAAAGCTTCTTTGAGCTCCAGAATCTAGGAGAAGAGTTATCGTTTGATAATCGAACTCTGATTCGTTGAAGATCAGTGCTGATGCAATTTGTAGCACATGTTGATTGAGAGGCGGTTGGTTTTGTCCGACTGTTATATTCTCCTGTGGAGTCGTGTTTGGCAGTGCTTGAATTCGACTACTCTCCCGCTGCTGATTATTCGACCTTGGAGGCTGCTTGAACCGGTTGTTGTCTGTCGAAGTGGTAAATCTTGATTGAGTTTGGGGTTTACCAGGAGGTTGGTACCCTCTCTGAGCTGACGAGTTTGGTACTTGAAGTTGATTTGTAGAAGTGCAGAGTGAAGAATGGTGGTCTTCATTGCATTTAGGGCATTTGCTTACAGCAGAGCATAGTCTAGAATTGTGTCCCTTGCTGAAGCACCTCCAGCAAACTCTTTGTCGTCTGGCTTCTGCCCGACGCTCCTCTGGTGAGCTGAATTTATTACACTGCTGTGGAGAGTGCGTTTCTCCACAAAGACATGTGGGTTTATTCCTTTGGATGGGAGCTGCCCTGTTATTCATGAATCTTTCTTGTTGGATTCTGATGTTGCTTTGTTTGGTTTGATCGAAACCAAACAATGTCTTTGTCGTTAGTTCAGTTGTCTCCTTCAAGGTGATTATCTCATCGATGGATTCCATGATTTCATTCACGTTGAGAGAGTTTCCAGTGTCGTTTTCCTTCCTTATCACTTTGCCACAGATCGATTCCGTAAATTTGGACAGGATAAGGCGTCTCCACATTCGATCTGCATTCATTTGTAGTCCCGTTTGCTCCAGGTGTGTGATGCGAGAAGAAATTGCAGCGAGGGTTTCGCGGCAACTCCTCGGATTTCCTTGAGCTCGCGGCAAACGTTCTATTTCATTAATCAAAATGTCTGCGATGCTTGAAGACTTGTCATAATGTTTCTTCAGTATGTTGACGGCAACGGCATATTTTTCTCCCAGTACTGGGACACTGCTAATTGAAGCGGCCGCTTTTCCCTTCAGAGCCTGCTTCAAAAATAAGAACTTCTCTTGGTCGCTCAAATCGTCGTCGCTGTGTATTAGCGATTCGAAAACGGACCAGAACGTATTGAACTCCATGTAGTTCCCAGCAAATGTAGGAACTTCCAGCAATGGACGCCTGACCCGAACGTTGCGTTCTTGCGGAGTCATTGCTGCATTAGACCATCCTTGACAGCTGCTATGGCTGTTGGTTACAGAATGGTTGGGCTGGGATGAGGTTATTAATGCGGTTTGTTGAAGTAGTTCCTCTTTTCTGAAGTCTATTTTGTTCAGCCATTGTATTGCTGAAATTTCCAGGGCGGGGCGAAAATTAGCGGTAGCTATAATACAATTTCGAGCAAAATGGATATTCAAAAGTACAAGTACAAGCAAAGATACAAGAGTTATCAATTGCGCATTGACTGAAAAATTAAGCAAATATAAAGACATTCAATGAGTACACTCATATCCATAAAATCTATCTGACTAGTAATCCGGTCACTGTGGCGACAGTTGTTCAACAAATTGCTCGCGTGATGAGTTTCGGAATAGTGAAGACCATTGCAGCCACGAAGACGGCGACTGCTAAGAAAGCCATCATTGCTGACTTCCAGTGGTCCATAGCGACATCTAGTAGATGTCCCAGATCAGGATAGTTGAACATGTTGACATAGTTGGCATGCTTGATCATGCGCTGGTCAGATGGTGTTCTCCAGTGCGTATGGAACGCCAATATCCCTGATATGACGAGATTGTGCGTTCTGCTTCCGCATTTCACTACACAGCTATTTTTGTATCTTGGTACTGTTGCGTGAATAGTCGCCCGTTGATCGGGCCGTGGACGAATTGCATATTGCCGAGAACATTTTTCCTGGCATTCTATTTCTATAGTGACTGGTCGGTAGGAATAGCACCGAACGTGTACTTTCAGCCCCTTTTTCGCCTCGCAGACAGTTGTAGCAGCCGTGAAGTGATGATGTAGTTATTCGCAGTTCTCGCTGTCAATTATAGAATCAGCATGGTTTGTTGCAGAAGTGCTTATCGTGAGATCGACCACAGCACTGTGTACGGCTCCGAAAACTCTTCCATGATTGTCCTGAAGATGCAGGACTGAGGAAGATAGTGGAAGCCGGCTCTCTGTTGATCGCATCTTGCTGCTAATGTTCAGATTTCTGCAGTCGCATTTTGCTTCTGTTTCCGATGATGAGCACGAGCACCTGTCTTCGACGTAACATTCCGATATGTTGGAGGCACTTTTCATTGTTGAACATCGTAGGCTAAGAAAGTCTTCTTCTTCAATCGTAGCTATTTCTGAGTGATTTGAAGTCGACCGTTCCCACAAATAATGTGCCTAATAGTGGAATTGCTGGCATTGTAATAAAGTTCAAAGTGATGTTGGCATCTTTCACGACATGCGTTGTTTGTGTATCGATCGTAATCGTATCAGATGCTTTTGTTCCTTGTGCTCCGGTGTAGGTGAATGTTATCAAAGCGGATTCCTGCCAGGTTGGGCAATGGAATACCCGGTAGATCTTGTTGTTCTTCGGTTTTGCATAAGAACGAGAGAATAGGCATCCAGGCATAGGAAGGACACATCCGCATCCAAGTCCACCACACGATGTGGTACATCGTGCGATTCCAGGATATTCGTAGGTGTCGCGTAGTTCAGGAATCTCAGTCCTGCTGCTGATGTGTGTACATTTCCGTGAGGTGCAGGAGCCAGCTAGGTCACATCGCTTTACAGATTCCGTGATAATGTCGACGTCTCTTGTGTAGAAAAGCATGACTGGGTTGCAGGTCAGGAACACATGATGCAGCTGTACTTCCATGCTACCTATTGTTTGGTTCCCGTTCCGAAGGCGAAAGCAAGCTTGAGGTCTATTTTCGCTCAGGGTAATGGTGCTTTCCTGAACTTCTCGGCAGTCGGTCTTGTAGGGTGACCGAGAGCAAACTGTGTTGTTTGCGTTTAGTGTGTGCGTATACTGGCACGATTGTCCGTTTGAGAACAGATGAGCCATTACGACGCTGAATATGATCAGTTTTGAGGTCGTTGGTAGCGCAGACAACTTCGTCATTGAAAAGCTCTCCTTTTTCTGCTGCTGAATATGACTCTGCTCGAGTATTCTTTTAATTCGTGTCCAGCCTCGTTTGAAGAGTGTCAGTCGACAGGTCATGTAACATAACAATGATAGTGGGGTGAGGATGGCTGCCAGGCAGAGTGCGAAGATCCCTATCGCCAATCGAGGGGCGCAGTGAGGATTTCCGAAAAATTCTGTGCACATAATACAGTTGATTTTTTGGCACACGTCTCCTGCTGGACAGACTATCGTTTCTGTATATTGTTTGGAGTCAACGATCGTCCGCCATTGAATGGTGTGTTGACTGACGATGTACTTGAATGGTAGGGCAACTTCGGTCACGTTATTCCCTTCTGGGATAAGCTTGCACTCCCTGTAATTTATACAGAGCTCCGCCTTAGTGAAGTGCGTCCTATTAATCGTTGCTCCCTTGCTTGAACAGGATATTGTTGCTGCAGACACTGAGTTGAAAAGTGAAAGCGCACACATGGCGATCATGAAAAGCGTGGTTGAGCTCGAGTTGCTGGAGCTTTTGGAACCGGATCTTGCTTCATTGTAAGATGCCTGATTTTTTGCAGCTCTTGGTGGCTGATGTCTTATGACCACGTCTTTTTTTGACAATTTGGAGGATGGTTTTCTCCGGACTGTTCCTCTGTTCTACTGTCGAAGGCTCGTGAATTCGGTCTTCCGAAGACTGGGCGGAGGACTGTATTTCCAAAGGAATGAGACGATTGACCGGTCTTTGAACAGTCCTTCCTGTTGAATTTTGAAGTAGAGCACTTCGAATTTCTCCATCTCTGCTTCTGATTAGATCAATAATTACAGCCATTGGCCATTGTCCTCTTGGCTGTGGCGAGTCATCGTCAAGGAGCACCACGTCTCCGATGCGAGGATGCTGATCTGACGACCTTGTCTTCTTTCCAATGACTTTGTGACGGTCCCTTAATTCCATGAGGTATTCGTTCTTCCAAATACTCCAGAATTTTTTGGTTATCTTTTCGGTCTCTGATATGGCTTGTTTCGCTGCTTTTTGAGACGGAATTTCAGGAGATTGCTGGAAGTCTGGATCATCGTCATTTTCTTCCGATGTAAGCTGTATGGTTCCATGCCGAAACATCTTTATAGATGAAATCTATTGGTCGCAAGGCGTCGCATGGTGAATTTTGATCACCGATCGCAGTTAGAGGTCTTGAGTTGACGACACTTTCTACTTCGCAGAGAGTGGTCTGGAGTAGTTCGTCATTCAGCTTGCGTCGACCGATCGTCTTCTGCATAGATCGCTTTACTGTACCGACCATTCTCTCCCATACTCCGCCCATCCACGGTGATGAGGGTGGGATGAAGTTCCATGAAATTCTATGTTCAGCGAGAAATAACGAGAGATGGGAATCCTCATTGCTATTCTGGTTGTTACTGAGCAAGCTCTCAGTCAATTGGAAATTCGTCCCGTTGTCGCTGATGATTTTCTGTGGAACTCCTCGACGAGCGATAAATCTTTTCAGCGTGAAAATGAAGCTTCTGGCTGACAAATCTGTTGCTACCTCTAGGTGAACAAGTCTAGTTACAAGACATGTGAACAAGGCGACATATCTCTTGCAGTCTTCTCCGCTTGATGATTTCACTACGATAGGTCCCATAAAGTCGACTCCAGTGTGAGAGAAAAAGGAGGTGACTTCGTAACACGCTCCGTAGGCAAAGGACCCATGTTTGGATACTTGTATGGTGCAGCATTGTGTTTTCTGCATATAACACAATGTTTGAGGATTCGCTTGCAGAGAGATCTATCTTGTGGGATCCAATACCGCTGTCTGATACTGTAGAGAAGCTGGTTTGTTCCACAGTGAGATGATTCCTTATGTAATCGAGATGCGATCAAGTATCCCAGTCTGCTCTGCTTCGGTATGTGAATTGGATTGGCCGTACTGAAGCTGATATCTGCGTTTTGGAGCCTGCTATATTTCCTTAGTATGCCATTGTCATCCATTTTCACATTTCAACTGCGTATTCTGCATGAGAAGCTGGAATTGTGGATGGATTGCTCTTGGGCGGATGAGGAGATGTTCCGCTATGATAGCTTCTTCTGCTGACGGTGTAGCTGTCACTATCGCTGAATCCTTCAGAGCCAGTCGCTTGCCCTTTGTCGCTTTACGAATGAATCGAGCGCAGTACGCTGTGATTCGGATCAATTTTGAGTAGTCGTTCGTTCTCTCCAAAGACCATATTGGATGTTTGACCTGCTCCGTAGAAGTATAAGCTTCAATTTCGTGGTCGAAGCTTTGTTCGCGTAGATTGGTAGCGTCCTTAGCAGGCCAGGTTTCCGCAGGCATGTTTAACCATATTGGACCGGACCACCAGCGATGACATCTAAAGTCGTTTTTAGTCACTCCTCTTGTTGCGCAGTCCGCAATGTTTTCATGTGTAGGTACATGGTAGAAGGTGACGTTGCTGTATTCTCGTACTCGTTTCGTAATGAGTCCAATCTTTTGGACTAGTGTGGTCACGATAGAGGGTAGGCGTTTGTATCCTTGCATCCAGCATAAGGCGATTGTTGAGTCACTGAAGAGGTTAATTTGCTCAAAATTCACATCTATCTTGTTGATAGTGGATTCGGCTAGACTTAGTCCAATGAATATGGCGAGAAGCTCCAGGCGTGGTATTGTTTGTTCCTTCTTGATCGGTGCGATTTTTGATTTCGCAGTGAGGAGTTTCGTCTCCTTGATGCCTGCCCTAGATGTAGTTGTCACGTAGATGCAACAAGCGTACGCTCGTTTAGAGCTGTCCACAAATATCGACAGTGTGTGCTGTGTCGTTCCGTCCTTCTCAACGACTCTCCTCGGCAAGCTGATATCAAACCCGACTATATTAGCCGTAATGGAATTCCAAGTGTTTTGATCTTCTTCAGACAGTGGATCGTCCCATCCGTATTTTTGTTTATGAAGATCCTGGAGGAATATCTTGGCTGGTATCATCAATGGTGACAGTAAACCAAGCGGATCGTAACAATATCCGTTGATCTGGCTAAGAACTGTGCGCTTGGAGATCTTGTTGACTTGCTTTTTGGAACACTGCAAGGTGATAGTGTCCTCGATGGCG